GGGTATATTAACTGTCTGTAACTACCCTTACACAAATAGTTTTTATTAAAACTGGTTATATTAACTGTCTGTAACTACCCTTACACAAATAGTTTTTATTAAAACTGGTTATATTAACTGTCTGTAACTTCATTTACTGAAATATTTTCTTATTAAAACTTGCTATATTAACTGTCTGTAATTATACTTACAAAAATCGTTTTTATTAAAGCTGAGTATATTATCTGTCTGTAATTGCACTTACACAAATAGTTTATTTTTAAAACTGGGTATATTAACTGTATATAACCACCGTTACACAAATAGTTTTCATTAAAACTGAGTATATTAACTGTCTGTAAGTACACTTACCCAAAAAGTTTCTTATTAAAACTAGGTATATTAGCTGTCTGTAACTACACTTACAGATGTAGTTTCTTATTAAAACTGGGTATATTAACTGGCACTATAGGTAGTTCTCGATCTCCAAGGTATCCACTCTTTATCCATTTAAACATTGAAAACACTTGCTCCAGTGATTGATACCCTACTTGAATGCACATGGCTAATTCTAATTTACAAATTTCTCCATCAACTTCAATACGCCCTCTATCTAAATACTCTATATAAGCACCTCATTCAGATAATATAATCAGTTATTCGAGACATAAACTGACTTTTACTGGAGAGGTAAGGCAGGAGAGTATCAGCAGAGGTAAGTATTCTTGGAAATACATTTTCAGATTAGGAAAATGTTAACTTTGAAAACATACGCTGACACTATAGCTAGAATCAAATCCTACACTGAGAAGGTGGAGGGGCCGGTGCAGGCATGAACCATAAAGAAAGTTTCAGTATAGAACAGGATTGTATCAAGATAAAGAGGGTACAAGAGCGGGGAACCACACTACATCCAGAATAGGTATGCTCTTCACCAGGAACTCAGTTCCTATATGAAAGGTGGAATAGAATATGAGTAATCGTCAGTATAGGCCAGCCTTAATCAGATAGCTGAGGTTTTACAACTCTGGGTTGGAATAAAGGGGTCATGGTACCTATATCCCACGTTTGTGGCTAGAGCTATTGGACTGCAATATTATATATACTTTTGATTTGATCCCAACCTGTAGCCATAGTGTGAGGCGTTTCACACCACCAGAATCACGAAAAGAAAGTAAGCAACACCAAAGTGGACAAACTTTCTCCTCCACCTGAACAAGTCCAAAAGGCAACACCCTAGGACAATGACGGGATCGTATGTGCTGTACTCAACCAAAGAAACGGAACTCATCCAGTCTGGAATTATGAATATTCATCCTAACTCTCCAACCAAGTGGGCAAGGAGTTTTACGCTTGCTCCTAGAACTATGGAGAGGTCATGGAACCTGTGCACAACCAAGGATCTAGGATGGGACCACTTTGTGTTCAGAAGTATGAGGATATAGTGGACCTCCTTCCATGAACAACATACGAAACCGACATTCATAAAAGACAAGGGCCATGCACCCCCCACATGGATAGCTTCGTGTCAAATCTGAACTGGAGTATGCTTCCGTGGAGGTTGGTACCACTCCTACTGATATCTGGAAAAAACATCAAGAGCCCAAGTAGGAGGGCCCAAACTTCGCCCTCTTCTCCGAGAGTGGAGAAACACACTCAAACACTATGGAGCAAAAGTCTCTGCCCACCACCCCAGCAACTGGAAACTGGGGGTAGTAAGGACTCCCGAACACCACTAGTAGAGTCTTGGAGTGGTAATATGTCCTGAGGAACAGTGATCTCGAAACTGTACAATAGGTGAACTAAGTTCTCTACATTTTTAAAAGCAAACAGACCCTGATTTATTCAACCTGAAGATCGACAGGGACGGGCAGGACCCCTTTACCTTTACTCATGACAGTCCATGAATGTTCGTCCATAGTAATATGATACTACCATTCAGTAGGCACCTAGATGATCTCATGGAACACCCCATTTCGACAGAGCCCGTGGTAATCTGTAGTAATTATAGTGAAAGTGGTTGCTAGTGCAGAATTGAAAAAAGAAAACATACCTACCTGGGCAACACTCGCCCCAGAGTGGGATCCTGTGAAAATATAAAGGGACCCTAGAAATAAAAGAGTATATGCGTGAGGAAAATACTCACATCTGGTTAAAATCTAACAGATGTAGTCAAAATAGCTACGGATGGTAGTTGATAACCCTCCGAAGAGGAAACTGCTAGATCGTGCAAGTGATGGGATAGGAAAGTATTAGAAGTAGTACACAAACCAGCCCGCACAATGTCTTCCAGACGACAATTCGACTGGGTGGCTTATGACATAGAGATACGGCGAATCTGGTGAGATGTGACAGACAAAGAATTCCTCTCCTGTAACAATAATCCATTATAGGCTATGTGAATCAATATACGAAACAACCTCGTTATGGTAATGGGAGATAAGTCATGGAAAATAAAAGGATTCAAATGAATGAAAAATCGATTCCTAGTATCTCTAAATGAGGTAGTCCAAGCCACATAACACATGAGAGCCCTAACCAGACATAAGAAATGGTCAGGAACGGAGTGGTCTAAAGGTCAGAAATGGCTGGCAAATGGATTGGTGAGAAGGATCTTTCCATTTCCCTGGCTTCTAGTTTTAGGAATAAAAAGCAGGACAAATGTGGAATGATAAAGCGTCAAATGTACATAGATTGCAAACAACTCCGACTGACAACGTCAACAAGCCAACAAAAACAACAATTTAAGAGAAAGGTGAAATAAAGAACGCAAAGCTAAGGACTCAAAGGGAGGATGACAAAATGCATGTAAAACAACTGTAAAATACCAATGCAGTAATTGAAAAGGTCGTTTGGGTTGACGAATATGAAAGAATTTGAGTAGAACTGATAGTATTGAGGATTGGAAACCTTCTGATATTTGGAATAACAAAAAATAGTGGATAAGGAGCTTTATACAAAGCCACCATAGAAGAAGCGGGACCCTTCTCAAATATCCAAGTCAGAAACGTGATATGGTAGATATTTTTGGATGAAGAGGGATTAAATTCCTTTTAATATGCTACTGACGATAAGTGTTCCATTTCTGTTGAAACATGGCCGTGGTTGACATATGGAGAGATTTACTTAAATATAGTGAAACCTTAGAAGCTAAACCCTTATATTGAGAAAAGGACCACATAACTTCCAAACGTGAAGATTGAGTTTCCGTACATCTGGGTGAAGAATATCTAATCTAGGTTGTCTCAAAAGAGGCTGCCGATGTGGAAGAGGTAGAGGTGGACATTCCTACAGATACTGAGGAAGTGAAAACTACGTTTGAGCTGGCCAATATGGTAAAACCAAGAGAACTCGACAAGGAGGGGAACAATTCATAGTCAGAACCCAGGGCAGTAGCCAAATCGGGGGAAAGGCATACAGACGTAAACCATTCCAGTCCGAACTGAACACATCTAGTGCCAATGCTTGAGAATGAGATATCGTAGACCAAAGGAACTATAGTTGAGAATTCTAGTGAGTCGCAAAAGTATCAATCATTGGAGACCTAAACTGAGAGCATTTCCACTGAAATATCTCGTGGTGTAGCATCCATTCCTTCGGAAGAATCCGGTTGGGTCGAGACAAGTGATCAGCAATAAAATTCATCACTCCTGGAACATGACATGATAAAATACTGATATGATGGTAATGAACCCAGCAGAGAAGATCCAAAGTACGAAAACAAAGATCTCGAGAATATGTGCCTCCTTTATGATAAATCTTAGATACCACCTTGGAATTGATAGAGAGTATCATGAAAATTTATCTTTTCAAGAGAGACAGACCTTGAACCATTGCCCAGTGTACTGCAAGGGGTTCGAGAAGATTGATATGGAGGGTAGATTCGTCTTACGTCCAAATACCCTGGAACTCCTGACCTTGACGATAAGCTCCCCATCCCTGAAAAGATAGGTCTCTGATCAGATGGATCTCAGGAGGAGGTCGTGGAATGGGTTTTGTTGTTCTGATCCAACCACCATTTCCAATCGACAATGTTGCTCTTAAGTAATGAGACAGGATGATCCAAAGGATTGAATTGCCTGATCCATTTATTGTGCACTGGCTACTGAAGCATGGACGCCCGCAGGAAGGGGCAAAATTCTTCTTCTATGTTATTGGAAAATCATAAGGTATTTGTATTTCGATTTCATAATTTTTTCAAACTTGAGTTACTTGAATCTCTCTAATTGTTTTTCTATGGGTGCTCTTGCATTGAAGAGACCTTATATATATGCTCGTCCCAAAGGAATGAGAGGCTCGAGGGATACCAAAATCCCCAAAAGAGAGAAACATTCATGCAGTAGGAGAAGGAGGCATAAGTTAATGCCTGACAGCTCTTTCCATGGCTTGAGGCATGATAGGGGTTGGTTGAGTGAGTCCTGAAAAATACATCCAAGTGGATGAGATAGTGTCAGTGACAGAATAGATATCTCCACTGTGATAAGAAAACCCACTTTTGTAGCTTCTAAAAGGAGAATCTGCTTGTTCTGCTAATTGGTGGAATGGTGCCAGAAGGAGCCAGTCGTCCATATAATGATGTGTGCACAGACCCAAGGAACGCAGGTGACTAGAAAAAGCTCAAACAACTTTGCAGAAGACATAAGGTGCTGATGCAAGACCAAAAGGTAGAGCCCTAAACTGCAGCACCTGACCCTTGAGCACAAATCTGAGAAACCTCCGATAAGATTCTAGGATGGGAATATGGAGATAAGTATCATGAACATTGAACTTAGTCATACAGAGTGCTTTAGTGCCATCGTAGGTTGAGAATAGATTCCATTGTAAAGCGAGGAGGATCTAAAATTGGTTAAGTCTTCTTAAGTGTACTCCTGTCTTCTTGAGTACATTGAATAAACGGGAACAAAATCT